ATGCATCATCATTTCCAGAGTAGGACCATGGACGTGGTACATTCCCAGACGTTTCGCCAGGATCGTAGTCGGCATCGTCAGTGATTCTCGCTTTCCGTAGCACCATATTACAACTCGTCAAATGGACAAGTGAAGCCCATCCTTTGACCAAACGTGTGCTAAATAGTTATGGTATCTCACCTGCCCTGGTCTATTCACATATTCATTTCGTATAATAGTGCATGAAGAACAGATTTGTAGGTCGATCTCACCAGATAAGTACGGCTGAATCACGTTGTACGTCAGCCGTTTGGCTTTTATACGACATCCAGGTTGACGTAGTCCACGAGACCTCCTTCCTTATTTCGGATGAAAACGGGTTGAGCTTTCTTCCATCATTTGATGGACATCAGCAGAGCTAGGTCCCATTCCTGTAAAAGTCTGAGGTTAACTATAGTGCAAAAAGACTATCCGGCTCTATCTTTCCTCTTATATAGACTAAATTAGGCAAAAGAAAATTTAACGACCTAGATAGATATAAATTTGGATAATTATCTTTAATAATGATTCTGCTACTTTTGTTCGAGTACGTGTATGTGTCTTGACGTTTATACGCAATAACGCCCTAAATCTCGTGGCAAATGTGAATTTTTAGGAAGCCCAGGTTTTTTTATAGCAATCGATTACAATACTTACTTTGCACATATAAGCAAACCTCGCAATGTGGCTTTGTGGTTAACTTGTCTAGATTATACGTTGCATTGTCAAGCTTCGACTCCCGCTGAAGACGTTGATAAGATCTAGGTGAGCTCGAAGCTGCAGTCCACCCTGGATGAACACAATTTTGAAATTCATTGGAAACGTCAGCTTTATTCATATCATTGTGTGAGAATTCTACTACCAGTCCTTCATCACCTTAAAGGAAATAAGGTGAATACATATAATAAAACTGATTTATTGATAGTAAGTCTCGAAACTGCTTATATGCGAAAAATGTGTGCACTATTGCCCTTTATAACATTTAAGATAGAATTTTGGTTTATCAACTATATATCTTATGTAAGTATACATTTTATTATTTCACTTTTGGATTCTGAGACTTGATTCCTATAGTCAAGTCTTATTATGATATTCTTCATTCTGGGTGAAGTTCATAGTATATCTTAGTAGCCGTTAACCCTTTCAAGACTTGGGCTTTCATGCACATTTCTACTTCATCTCGCCTGTTTGTTCAGTTCTGAGTTGGGTCGCCTCCTCCTTGCCTATTTGGAGTTTGAAGCCGGTGAGTTGTCCCGTCTAACAGAAATTTGTCAAAATGCAGAGATCTTCTGTAACCAAACGAAGGCTCTAGGGCCTGCTAGCACCTCTTGCGAAGCTGCTGGTGCCGGGCTTCCACTGAGTCTGCACGAGGAGCAAGCAACTCGTGTAACTGGAATCGTTCAGCTCCTTCGTCAGCTCGACTCAGATGCTGCAAATGCGAGTGCAGTAGATATGCTTATCTCTCTTCGTCAGTTCGAGGTAATTAATAATTTCCTTTTAGCCCTCAAAACATTAACCTCACGACCAATTTTTTTGCGCTTTTGACAATATCCACTCTTTTCTCTTTTTTTCCATCAGCGCGCTGAAGAACTTTCCCGTCGCCTTGTTAGGACTCATCCAGATATTGCTTTTACATGGCTTCTGCTTGTACGAGTTCGCCTATCTGCTGGTCACTTCGCCACAGCTCGTGAAGCTCAGCGAAATGCTGGCAGACTTTTGCCAAACAAGCAGCTTATCATCTTCGTCATAGGGTATTTTTTTGTTTTTTTTAATTAGATGCATTTTTTTCCTGTTGTGCTTTTGTATATTTATTCTATTTTTCAAGTTATATGTACTATGTAGATATGAAGAGAAACTGGGTTTCGATGAATCTCTTGTGATAACATTGTTGGGGGGACTTTCATTTCTTATGTAAGTGCATTAAGAAGAGGTTCGTTGGTCGATCTCA